CTCAACATCCCAGACCAGAGTGTACATTCGTGACAACTGGATGAACCTACACTGACACATCATCACTCAAAGTCCATAGTTTACAGTAGGGTTCATTCTTGTACATTCTGTGGGTTTGGACAAATGTGTAATGACATGTCTCCATCATTATAGTATCATAGAGAGTAGTTTCACTGCCCTAAAATCTTCTGTGCTCCACCTCTTCATCCCTTCCACCCCAACCCCTAGCAACCACTGATTTTTTGACTGTCTCCACAGTTTTGCCTTTTCCAGAATGTCATATCGTTGGAATCATACAGTGCATAGCCTTTTCAGATTGGCTTCTTTCACTTAGTAATATTCATTTAAATTCCTCTAGGTCTTTTCATGGCTTGATAGCTCATTTCTTTTTATCACTAATATTCCATTGTCTGAATATACCACAGTTTATTTCCCCTTCCACTATTGAAGGACATCTTGGTTGCTTTCGAGTTTTTGCAATTATGAATAAAGCTGCTATAAACATCTATGTGCAGGTTTTTCTGTGGACAGGATTTTTCAGCTCCTCTCAGTAAATATGAAGGAGTGCAATTGCTGGATTTGCTGGATTGTATGGTAAGAATACGGTTAGCTTCATACGAAACTTGCCTAAGTGTCTTCCGAAGTGGCTACGCCATTTTGCATTCCCACCAGCAATGAATGAGAGTTCCTGCTGCTTCACCTCCTTGCCAGTGTTTAGTGTGGTGAGTGTCCTGGATTTTGGCCATTCTAATAGGTGTGTTGTGTTATGCCAGTTTTTATTTTAGATGTTTTGGGCTATGTTATTAGACATATACAAGTTCAGAACTATGATCTCTTCCCAGGGGATTAAATTTTTATGAATTTTGTAATGACATTCTTTTATCTATGATAATGCCTTTCATCGTCACATCTAGTCTAATGCCAATAAAGCTATACTAGCTTTCTTTCGTCTATTATTGCCTTTTTAAAATTGCTTTATATATCCTTCTTCCATCCTTTTGCTTTCAACGTGTGTCTATACTTTTTAGGTTCATCTCCTGAAAATTACATATAACTGTATTTTGTTTTGTATACATTTTGGCAATTTCTGTTTCTTAACTGATCAATTTAAAGATTTTATAGTTATGACCACTGATAAACTTAGATATATTTTTACCATCTTATTTTATGCTTTCTATTTGCCTTCCTTTTTAATTTTTTAAGTTTCTCTATTCTCTTTTCTGCCTTCCTTTGAAGTCATTTAAAAAAAATTTCCATTCGGGGCGCCTGGGTGGCTCAGTCGTTAAGCATCTGCCTTCGGCTCAGGTCATGATCCCAGTGTCCTGGGATCCAGCCCTGCATCGCATCGGGCTCCCTGCTCAGCGGGAAGCCTGCTTCTCTCTCTCCCTCTCCCACTCCCCCTGCTTGTGTTCCCTCTCTCTCTGTGTCTCTCTCTGTCAAAAAAATAAAATCTTTAAAAAAAATAAATAAATAAATCTACATTAAAAAAATATTCCACTCATTTTTTTCTCTGCTGGTTTGAGGTCATACATACCATTTTTTTTTTTAGTGGTTATCCTTAAGACCTTTACATGCATATTTAACAAAGTTGCTCAGTATGTCTACTCTCTTCCCAAACAACCATCCTCACCTTACATCTTAATGTTGTCCAATATTGTAGCTCAGTCCACCTTTTTTTGCTTCCTATATTAACATAATTATCAATCTATGTTTGTTTCTATTTTCCCAAATACTTTCTGATTTTTTTTCTGCTCACCATATTTCCTTGTATTTCACACCCTTCTGGGATCATTTTCCTTTTTCCTGCAATAGATCCCTTAGAATTTCCTTTAATGGAGGAATGTTGGTGGCAAATTCTCTAATCTGTTGTTTATTAAAACTTTTTGTTTCACCTCATTCTTGGAAGATAATTTTGCTGAGACTAGAATTCTAGAATGGCAGTTCTCCCTCCCCACCACTCCCCCTTCTCAATGTGTTAAAATACTATAGTAGTACTGTCATCTGGAATCACTGTTGCTGTTGAGAAATCAACTGTCAGTCTAATTGTCCTTTTGGGGGATTTGTCTTTTCTTTCTGACAGCTTTTAAGATCTTCTCTTTTTCTTGGTATTCTATAGTTTCAGAACAGCTCTGGGTGTGTATCCTGTTTATTTAATTTTCCTTGGATTGTTGGGCTTCCTGGGTTAGAGTATTAGTGTTTTGTAATAGATTGGAAAAATCTCAACTGTTATATCTTAGAACACTGCTTCGATCCAGTTTTCTCTGGTATCTCCTCCATCTTCCATGCTGCTTAACCTGTATTTTATATTTTCTGTCTTTGGCTCAACGAACTATCTTCTGGATAATTTGTTCATTAATTCTCACATCGTCTGAGTCTAATGCTTACTGTTTGCATTTTAAAATCAATCTTTTCATTATGTTTGTGTAAGTTATATTTGGTTCTTCTTCAAATCTTCTTGGTCATTTTTATGCTTATATTCCTTTCCCATAGTTTCAAGCTTCTCTTTAATGTCTTGAAACATATTAAATATACTTTATGTTCTCTGTATGATAATTCCCATGTCTTTAATTTGCAAGTCTGGTTTTACCCGCTATTGGTTAGCTGGCTCTCACTCACAGTGTCTTATTTCCTTGCATGTTTATGACTTTCTGGCTGTGAGGGCATGCTCCATGACACTTTACCAATGGAATTTCTTTGAGGCCTGGATTGGAGTTGTGTTTCTCGGACAAGATGTATATTTTCCTCTACTAGTTGACTGGAGGTACTCTCAACCAGGTACCACTTAATATATAAATGATCTGCTTTAGGTTCTTGAACCACAGAGGTAGCTTAGTTCAGGTCTTGCACCCACAGTAGAGCAAGCTTCTTACAAATTCTCAGGGAAGACTTTATCCCTTCCACCCAGCACCAAGGTCAAGACAGGCGAGATTTGTGCTGCCCTTCTTTGTGGCACATTTACTTTTTGTTCACCCTTATGATTGGGTCGGGCTGTTTGAATCCCAGCTTTAGGTAGGGAATCTCCTACTAGTCTCCTCACACTGGGTGGGTCCAGGCCTTATCTCTGGGCTCCTCTGTTGCACCAAGCGCCCAGACTGATACTGCAGACTCACCCGGGTTTGGTTTGGCAGACAAGGCAAAAGCTGACTTCAAGCTCATTTCCCCCCGAGGATTACTATTTTCACTGTGCTTTCGTACTCAGAATTTCTTACTTTCTTGCCAACTCAATGCATTTGAAAAGATACGTTCTATTTTTATTCAGCTTTGGAATGACTTTTCATTGGGACATTTACTATGATACGCCCAGACATGGAGGTTTGGATATTTTTCTAGAAGACCCTTTCACTGAGATGTATCCACGGCAGTTGGACCTCTGAGGGCCCCCAGTTGATGATATGGGGATCTCAGTTCCAACTCCCTCCCTCGGATGGGCCCAAGACTTGTTTTCTCTCTTGGGTGCAACAACCGGAGCTCAAGGATCTGTATTGCAGCCAATGTTCATGAACACCTTTAGGGGAGCAGTGGCTTCAATACCCATTTGGCTACTGCAGATTACGGACACCAATCAACTGTGTAGACTAATGATATCTATTGGGGCCACGTATGCAGAGAAAACTGAAGACAGTTTCTTTTTTTTTTTTTAATATTTTACTTATTCGAGAGAGAGAGCACAAGCAGGGGGGAGTGGTAGAGTGAGAGGGAGAAGCAGACTCCCCGATGAGCAGAGAGCCCCATATGGGGCTCAATCCCAAGACCCCGGGATCACGACCTGAGCCAAAGGCAGACACCCAACCGACTGAGCCACCCAGGTGCCCTAAAGACAGTTTCTATGCCTCTCGGTAGCTTCACCTTCTTGTAGACTTCCATGTTTTGTTGCTTCTTCCTCAAGGCGGGTCTGCTTGCACAGCTACAGCTGGCCTCCCACATGCATCTTCCCATGGGCCGGATGCTCCCCTGCCCTACCCCACCTCTCTGAAGCTGTTGATGTCCAGCCTAGCAGTGCTTCTGCACCTTGTTAGAGCCATGGAGCTCTTTGAGAATCTGATGAAAGCTACAGACATTTCCCCAGGAGACTTCCGTGCCAGCCAGAATGTCCAAGACCATGACAGGTTCCTGATCCTCTGCACCTGATGATTTATCTTCCTAGATATGGGGATGGGGTCTCAGGCCTCAACTGTGGTGGGTGTGTGCTTCCTTAGGAATTCGTTATGATAACGTACATCCCACCTGGGACTAGTCAAGTAAGCTTCATGCTCTGTGCTTCTGACTTATCCTTTCTCTGACTGTTTTCATATAACCAAGTGCTTGCATTGCCAATGGGCCTGCACAGTGTAGGTCTAAAGGGAAGCTTTTGTTTTTTCTTTTCTATTGGGATTTCCCAAGAGAAAGGAATAGGTCCTGGGGCCACCGTTGGTTTGACTCTGATTTGTTTCAATCCTTACCTGAGTTTAGATCTGTTTCAAGGAGTCTGAGCCTTTACCGATTTGCTCTTGGCTGAGTTTTAATAAATACAGGCTAATAATCTGCCTCTGTGTAAGTCATGGTCTTTTTGTGACCCTCTGCATTTCTGATTTGGCCTTTTTCTTAACGTCTCGGAGCTAGTTTCCATCTGCAAAGTGAGGGACTGGACTGGAGTAGATGTACTTGAACTGCACTTCTCCGAGCGCCTCGGACTAGGGGGGCGAGGATATGGTTGGGGGATGGGCAGGGCACTTCAGTGGGGTTGGGGGTGATGGGTGTGGGGAGGGGCTCCTGCCCTCAGAGCTGCTTCCACCACAGCAGGTCTGATTTACGTGCTTTACACACCGGGTCCGGAGTAAGATCTGTTTTGGACAAATTCCACAGGGGATGGCTGATGTCTATGCGGGCCTCCTCCCTGAGCAGGAGTCCTGTCACCTGGCTGCAGGTGGAGGCAGGGAGCGAAGGCGCGCCTGTCTAACCCTCCCATCCCCCCACTCTGTGGCAGACCTCCCTCCCCCTTGACTCCCTGACTCTGTTCCTAGTTCCAGTTCCAGCAGGGATGTTGTTACCTTTGGCAATGAGAATGTTAGTGCTGCTGCCCCTGAGCCCGGCCGCGCCCAAGGATGGAACCGTGAGGTAATGGGCCTCAGCGGGCAGGGCCATAGGCTGGGATATGGAGAGTCTCTGGAGAATCTGAGGTGTGCTGGGCCCCTGTGGGAGGCAGGAGCCTGGGGTGTATGCTCCCTGAGCTCCGTATCCGCCCCCCTCCCCCAGTTACTGCCATCTCTGTGCCCGTAGGGGCACCCTCCGCAGAGCGGGCACCCGGTGCACCTTTGCTGGGATCAGCTCATCGGGGATCCGGGGACTCCGTTCCAATGGGGTGTGAAGCTTGGGAGGAAGCTGCGCTTCCCTTCTCAAGACCTTATGTGGGAATGCCAGAGCCTTGGAGATCATTAGCAGACCCATTCGGGGTTGTGTGCCCAGCCGTCTCAGGGGTGCCCGTGTGAGGAGCACACCGCGGGTCCGCGGGCTGGGTTGGGGGACAGATACAGGGAGAGCAGCAAGGCTGGCCGCGGGGCAAAGGCTGCTGCCGAGGCTCCTGCCAGCCATCTGGCCCACAGGTCTGGACCGATCTGGGCAAACAGGCAGCCCCGTCCAGAACTGGGAGCAAATCTTGGGCTTGGAGGACTGAGAAGGAGAGCCTGAGCCGATCAAAACTCCAAAACCAACATCTACGCCCTCAGCTTGCGCCATGGAGCAAATCCAGTCTGCGGAAACCTGGGCAGTGCCTCGGGGCTGAGCCACAGACCTGCCCCTCGGGCCCGGCCCCAGAGCAGAGGGGTGACTGCGAGCCCCGCTGTCCGGACACCCACTCACTGTTTTCTTGGGTCTCCAACTTGTATCTACTAGGTGTGGCCTCATCTGGCCTCTGTCTAACCAGGTGCTTTATTTATCCCTTAACGTCTAAGTTAGGAATCTGTAAAAACAGTCTGAGGGAGTCAGGTTCTGCTTCTAAGACCAGAAGGGCCTCCTCCCCACAAGGTGTTTGGGAATTTGAGAGAACAACGCCCTTTGGGTCTGGGGAGATAACTCTGCCAGGAGCTTGAGGGGGGAAGGCTGGTAGGCCGGATCCTCAGGGAGGCTCTTGGCAAGCCTGGCCCTTCTCTTCCTCCTCCAGCCTGGACCCCGAGGTGCAGCAGCTGCCCCTGTCCAACCCCTTCCAGCCAGGCCAGGAGCAGCTTCGGTGAGTGGGCTGGGCGGGGGTTGGGGGGGGTGGGCCTGGGTCCGCACACTGGCCTCTCCGGGCTTACTTTCCCCGTTTCTGCCAGGCTTCTGCAGAACTACCTACAGGGACTGGAGAGAATGGAAAAGGAGCTGGAACACATGAGCCGGGAGCAGGGTGAGGGGCTGGGCCCCGGGGCCAGCGGGCAGGGGGCTCAGGGGCAGCAGAGCCGAGACTGACCCCGGGCTGTCAGTTGTCCCCTGCCTCCTCCACCTGTTCCTGGTGCCTCTTCTGATCTGGCTTCTCCTCCTTAGTTCTCCTCTACCTCTTTGCCCTCCACGACTATGACCAGAGTGGACAGCTGGACGGCCTGGAGCTGTTGTCCATGTTAACTGCAGCTCTGGCGCCCGAAGCTGCTGATTTTCCTATCGCCAACCCGGTAAGCCCTGCTGGCCGGGGGGCCCCTTCTCCCACGAAGGAGACTCAGCTTCTTGGGGCTTTAGTCTTTTTCATCATGGCTCTTTTGATGAATCCACGATAAAAGAAGTGCCCTGAGCCTGCCTGGCAGGGACGTGGGGAGGTGTTGGGAGGGTCAGGGCTCCTGGGAACAGCTCTGTCTGCTGCAGACTCTCCAGCAAACGTGTGCTTCCACAGGTGATCCTGGTAGTGGACAAGGTGCTCGAGACCCAGGACCTGAATGGGGATGGGCTCATGACCCCTGCAGAGCTTATCAACTTCCCAGGAGAGGCCCCCAGGCACACAGAGCCCAAAGAGCCCCCGGAGCCACAAGATGTTGGGAGGCAGTCCCCGTTAGCTAAAAGCCCGTCCAGACAAGAGCTGCAGGGAGCCCTGGGTCCCAGAGAAGATGGGGCACAGGTAGAGGCCACAAGGGAGTCCTTGGAGCCTGTACAGGAGGCTGGGGGACAGGCAGAGGCTGAAAGAGAAGCCCGAGGCCCTAGAGCAGAGGCTGCGGGCCAGGAAGAGGCCAGCGACGCTGGAAAGGACGCAGAGGAGCATCCAGGGGAAACACTGGAGTCCAGGAACACCCAAAATGAGTTTGAAGTTCATGTTATTCAACTGGAGAATGATGAGATATGAACCTTGAGGCTAGAGATTTGCACCCCTAGAAGTCTCAGCACCAGAACATAAGCCCCAAAGAGTGGGCTGTGTATGCTGGGTGTATGTCCGCTTCCTGGCCCCCGGAGGGGCAGGTCTTTCTGTGCAGCTCAGGGAGACCCGAAGTTGAGGGGGCAGCTTTGGGGCCCAGATAACCAATAAAGAACTGAATGAACTCATCTGCTTGGGCCATCTACTTACTGGTTTGGCCGGTCTGGCCTCAGGGACACAGGGGGTTGGGGACTGCACAGGCTTCTGGGAGGGGCTTCGGCTTCCCCCGTGTTCCCAGAGGGTGCTGAGACAGCAGGGGACAGCACCAGGGCCCAGCTGCAGACAAGCTGGGGAAGAGAGCGCAGCCTCTCGCTGGGGCCCAAATGCCCCTCTTCCCCCTCCCCTGGGGTTCAGACACCCAGGACCCTCCTGCAGCTCCGAGCCGGTCCTCCCCACCACCCTGTAGGTGCCCTCCCCGTAATATTAACAAGAACGGCCATTTACTGAGAGCCGAGTACACACCAGGCATCATGCTGGGCATTTTCTCCATTGTCTGATTGTATCCTCACGATAATACCACCAGGCAGAATTAGCTCCATTTGACAGATGAGGAAATTGAGGAAGACCGAGTCACTAACGTACCCACGGTGACACCGCCAATTAAGTGGCAGATTTGAATTCAGGTGTGGCAGACTGCAAAGCCCATAGTCCTTAGCACATTCTTGGTCTCACACACCCTGCCCCAACTCCCATATGAAAACTGGCCGATTCCAATATGCCCTCAGCCCTGGTCTCCCCCAGGGACATGGACACTTAGTCCTGGGGCACATCTGTGGCCAGGGCACCGCCTTAATGACAAGGCGGCTCCGAGGGTGGGGCTTCAGGCTCTGGGACAGTCACAGGGGAGATACTTTTGGACCATGAAGTCGCCACCAAACCACAGAGGCCCACTGGCCTGTCAGGTTGGCTCAGCCGTGTGGACAGTCCTGGTGCCATCAGACTGGAGTCTTGTGACAGCCCAGGGGCCCAGAGGAGATTTTCTGGTGGCTTATTATGTGGAAGGTTCCCTGGGGTATGAGGAGATACGTGTCCCCCCCAGCCAGGAAGGCTCAGGGTCTCTGCCCATCCCCTGTGGCTCCTCTTCACCAGAACCAGCTGGGCCTCCAGCAAGGGCACGGCTGGTGGCAAGTCGGGGGTACTTCCCGCTTCTCCAGCGTAGGCCGCCCCTCCTCCGGGCCTACGCAGGGAGGTCACTTTGAGGAATAGAGAAAAAGAAGGTGACGGGCTGTAGCCTCAAAGCCTCTGGCATCCCCAGCCAGAGCGGCTCAGACATCAAGGACAAACAGACTGGCAGAAGGAAGCCGGCTCTGGGGCAGGAGATTTATTTGCTCGGCGGCTTGGCGGTGTGAGCCCCCAGGACACAGGGGGAGCACCCTCCACAGGCAGCGCGGACGCCAGGCTGGATGGAGGCGCCAGCCTCCCGGGAGGGGGTGTGTGAGCCAGTGCCCCCTGCCACAGGGCAGTCACACGATGCCCTCAAAGCCCTGCAGGCCGCACTTCTTGCCGGCCACCTGGCAGCCAAACCTCAAGGCCTCCTGCATACTCTTGCCTGGAGGGACAGAGAGCTGGCTCAGCCCGGTCCTCCGCGCAGGGGCAGGCCTCAGCCTGGCGCCTCCTGCCGGCGTACTCACCCTGGGACAGGCTGAATATGACCGAGGCGTTGAAGGTGTCTCCGGCCCCCAGAGTATCCACCACCCGGGGTGGAGGGAAGGCGTCCGAGTGGAGCAGCCGTCCATCAGGGCCCAGTGCATCAGCGCCCTCCTCAGCCCAGGCGCAGACCAGCATAGCCCTGCAAGCCCCTCCACTCAGCTGGGTCGTCATCCCGCCCCTGGCCCCCAGCCTCATCCCCCTCCTCAGGGCAGTGCCGCCCCCTCCCCGCGTCCAGACTCACTGGTTCTCCACACCTAAGGCCCCTTCCTGGCTTCCCCCTACTCACCCTTTCCTCACACGACCGTACAAACCCCTCAGGGCCTCCCCCGCTGACCGGAACCCCAAGTGCTTGGCCACATCTTTGCTGACAAACACCTGTGGGCAGTGGAAGAGAGGCTGATGGTCCCCCAAACCCAGTCCCCGCTCAGTCACTCACCACCAGCAGCCTAGCGTTGCCCCCATATTATAATGCCACTCCTCCAACATGTCTGCCTAAATCCCCAACGTAGCATCTCACTGTCCCACAGGAATGCGTTTTCACACTTGCTCAAGATATGCTAGAAGCCAGCCCTGTAAACTGTGGCACAAAAGTCCCTGGTTTATTTGGTCTGAGATCAACGAATGTCCCTGCAATTGAAAATCCAAAGCGAGCCTCGAGCGCCATCTTGCGGTGAAAGCTACCGCTGCCAAGTTACGCGCCCGGCTCTCAGGAGCGGTTTGCTTTGTTTTCCTGGTACAACTATGCCCTCTGGGCCAGGTTTCTTCACCTTTAAAATAAAGGGCCAGGGGTTGTAGAGCTTCCTCAACACCAGCTACACGTTAGAACTGCCAGAGGGACGTGATCCCAGGACCCCGGGCTGCTTCTCCCTCTCCCACTCCCCCTGCTTGTGTTCCCTCTCTCGCTGTGTCTCTCTCTGTCAAATAAATTAATAAAATCTTAAAAAAAAAAAAAAAAAAAAAGAATTGCCAGAGGGAGTTTTGCTAAAAAATACTTCAGCTGAGCTCCACCCTCACCAATCAAATAAAAACCTGCCGTGTGGCTCAGGCATCCACACCTCCGGGCAGCCACGGTGGAGGCCCAACCAGCTTGGGCTATGATGCTAGGATTGTCCCTCAGAACTCATTTCCATCCCAGCACTACCCGAATTTACCTTATGCAAGTCCCCTTCCCATCCTCCCTCACCCCTCGGTGGCTCCCACAGCCCGCCACCCACCCCAGAGTTGGAGGACACCCGGGAGAACTGTCCTATTCCCTCATTTGACAGGGGGAAAGACGGAGGAGGCCCAGAGAGGAAATGCTCCCATGCCGGGTGCGCTGGCTGGCTCTAGGAGCCCTCTGGCCACTCTCGTACCCGTGCACCCACTGGGATGGAGAAATTTTTCTCCATCGCCACCACTGGGGCCTGCAAGGGAGTCCAAAGCTGGGGGCCTGCCTCTTTGCCCCCCACCTGCTAATGACAGCAAGCCATTCCAGGTGTGGTAGGCATTCCCGGTAACCAAGGGAACGCTTGGTTCCTTTTAAGACCTAAATGAGAGGCGCCTGGGTGGCTCAGGTGATGATCCCGGGGTCCTGGGACTGAAGCCCCCCACTCCCGCTCTCTGCTCAGCGGGGAGTCTGCTCTCTCTCTCACTCTCCCTCGGTGCTCTCTCTCTCTAATAATAAAAAAAAAATCTTAAAAAAACCCACAAACCCTAAATGAGCTGCACGTGGCAAGGGGAAGCTGCGTGGGCCACTCACCACGTCTCCATAGCCAAACAGTTGGAACAGCTCCTCTCGGGGCTTCTCCACCTCCACGGACACTCGGATCTTCTGACCCGGAGGCTGCGTGGCATTGTGCTGTTCTATCCGCCGCAGCATCTTCACCTGCTCTGAAGCGTTCCGGCCCTGGGGCGGGGTGGGGCGGGACGGGGCAGCTCAGGGCCAGCTGGGCAGAGCAGCTGCTCTGGCTTCTTCTTCCCTCCCTGCTGGTGGGCGAGGGGGGACTGGGCCGGAACGCCATCCGAAGTTTCAAAATTCTAGAGCGGTCATGGACCTTGGAGACCTTATTGACCACCTCCCAGCCCCACCCCCGCCCCCGCCATTTCACCGACGAGGAGACAAAGGAATAAATGAGAGACTTTCCTAAGGATCTATGGTGAATTAAATGACAAGGCTAGGATTAGATCTCAGGCCTTCTCCGAGTGTGGAGGAGGTGGGCAGCCTGGACACAGAAAGCGTGGGCCTTTGCCTGGAGCCAGCATCCTGCTTCCGGTGCCTACATCCTGCTGTGTGAACCCGAGTAAGGTGCTTTCTGGGCCTTAAAACACACAGCAAGCTGGAGCGGGGACGAGGGGGGTTGGAGTCCTTTATCTTGACGTACTTCATGGTTCAAAAAAATGAAGAAGGCAGAATACGTGAAGGGGCTGGCAGGTTGAGCCCCTCAAAACACAGGTAGGGCAGCACTTGCCTCAATGTGGATCCACTTGAACCGGGTCAGATCAACCTTATCAAAGTCTGTAGCAGACACATCTGGCAGGTTCCTAAGTCCCAGGACAGAAAGGAGAGAGAAAAGGCCTGGTGAGGTGAGCCCGGGCCCGGATCTCTGACTGGCGGCCGGGGCCCTATCCCTGGTGCTGCCTGCTGCGTGGCCAGACTGGATCTCCAACACGGCCTTCTGAGGCTCAGCTCCAGGACAGGCCCCGTTCCAGGCCAAACTCCTGACCACTCCTTGCCCTACTCGGCTCCTCCCAGACAGGGGGCTGGAGGCAGTCTGCCCGGGTGCCCTTTGGGGTAAACTCAACGGCAGCATGGGTCAAGAGGCCAGCTGAGTGTGCCTTGGGGACCACATCTCCCAGAACGCTCTAAGAGCACCAGGGACTACAACTCCTAGAATCCCCCCTCGCCAGTGGCGCACGTGCTCCCAGCATGCAGTGCCCCGGTGAACTACAAAGTCCACGGCTGCTCTGGGCCTGGTCCCGTTCACTCCCGGTGCCCCAGCAGTGACAGCACCACTGTTCTAAGCTTGGCAGCTCCATGTTGCAACCCTGCGGTCAAGGTTGGTGCTCGAGGATGAGTTTACAGTTCCGCTGACTCAGGTGTAGAGCCCCGGGAAGGGTCTGCCTTGACCAGAGACCTACACCTAACCTATGTCCTCCCCTCCATGGTCTGTAGCTAAAGCGATCTAATTAGCTGTGTACCTGGGCCTTTGCCATTGGTAAGTGGGTCCAAACCCACCAGCCTGCTGTAGTTGGAGGTAATGTGTGTGGATATGCTCGCACTGGGGCCAGGGGGCAACAAATGTTTCTCCTCTGAGCTCCTCTCCTCTTCCTGTGAACACCCATGTGGTGTCCTTGATCAAAGTTGCTACAGATCAGGGGCGCCTGGGTGGCTCAGTTGGTTAAGCGACTGCCTTCGGCTCAGGTCATGATCCTGGAGTCCCGGGATCGAGTCCCGCATCGGGCTCCCTGCTCAGCAGGGGGTCTGCTTCTCCCTCTGACC